CATTCGCGTTCGCGCGTCCATCCCGAACCGTTAACGCTGCTCGAGAGGCCTAGAAGAGTACGAGAGGAGAGCCTAGGAGCAAAAAAGTGCGCGGGGAAGGAAGAGGATTCGTAAAGAGCACGAGGAGGAAGACGCGAGATGAGTGATGAGCGGTTTGCAAAAAGCGAATTAAAAGATGGTGGAATAGAAGATTGAAAGCGGGGCGGGGAGGGAAAAGAGGAAGAGAGCGTGCTTCGTGTACGTTAATTAAAAGCGCTGCAAAGGAAGTCGCCAACTAAGAAGGGCGAGGCTGAATGAAAACAGCTGCTACTCGATGACGACACGGTCTAAGAGCGCGCTCGGCTTCGACTAAGCCTGCTCGACGCTAGCGACGCCGTTAGCGCCGCTATTTTCGCGCATAAATATAAACCGACGCCCACCCGACCTCGCGTCATCCTCACCTTCGCTCTCTCTTACCCTCCTCTCTCGCCCCTGTTTCGCTCCATTTTTCTCTCCTCTCTATCTCGCCTCCGTTTCCACGGAAATCCAGCCAAAGATCGGGGTTAGCGTTTCGAGAATTCGAACGGCCGTTCTACTTATAGTCCCGACGCGTGCTACCTTCCCGATCCTTCCCAGTCCGCGTGTGTTTATAAACACGGACCTTGCTCGTGATCTTTCCTCGGATCCAGAATCGGATTTCGAGTCGATACGTCGACGCGGTTCCTGGCACGCGAGAACCGGAGGAACGGAAGTGGTACCAGCCTCGGCCGTCGCAGACCGGTCTGCCGGTCCATCCGTGGCTCGTTCGATTCTGGCAGCCGATGGCAAAGTAAATAGTCCGGCCTCCAGTGCAGAACGAGATCAAACACGATGGCAAACGAATCGTATTCAAATTCTAGCCCGGATCGAACACGGCCGGCCGGATGAAAATTTTCAGGGAAACAAACTCGCAGCTGTCATTGAAAACTACGCCCCGACCGTGTCAGACCAGACTCGTACCAGATGCTCGCGTATATACCTCGTTTCTTCTATTTGCCGAACCTGGTAGACGGAGTCTACGCCAATGACAGGAAAATTGCCCTCCTTTCGACTACTACGTCTACTCGCTCGCTCCTTGTTTTCCTAAAACCACTACGTTGTCGTATTTCCACGTTAAAATAAAAATGGAATCGCGTTAACATCAAATTCGAGAACCGAGAACGCGCTCTCTCTTTTTCTTACTTTTCTGATTCGAATTTGGCGCGCTTCGCAGTCCAAGGGAACGGAAGCGAGGGCACTTGTTCCACCGGCGAAGCGTTCCTCCGGCGCTTCGGGAAATTCGAAATTAACGACGTCTCGTGGAGAGAGAGAGAGAGCAGAGAGACAGGGAGAGCCGCGTCGAAAAGGAAATGCCTCCCTTTCGACGGGTGTTCTATTACCAAAGAACAGTGCGCGCCACACAACACGTGGTGTGTAACGCACACGCCACTCTGCCTCTCTGCCTTGGGTGTGTATTTCGAGACGAGCCTGCCTGCCTCTGCCTTCGCCCGTGGTCTTCGCGAAGCACGCACATGCATCGACCGGCAGGAAAGAGCTAGTAACGGTACACCCTCGGCTGCACGGACTGGGGGTAGAGTAACATTTTCGGTGGGGGCCGCTTTCGGATCGGGGAGAAAACAGGTGAATTACGACGAAATTGAAGTTTATCGGAGGGCCGTTGGCTGTGAAATCGAAGGCTACTCCGATTGATCGACTTTCATCGACCGAGGGACCACGGCTCGGGTATTCTTCCAGGCTTCCATAGACTTGGTCGCCATTTTCGTTTTCTTGCGAAAACTCTACGAAATTATTCTCCGCGGGTTCACAGCAAATACGAAGTACAATTTTTATTAGTTACTTCCACGAGTTCGGGTTTCAATATCGTACATAGATATTTGCCCTTAAATAACTTCAAATCGGAAGAAAAAGAATTGGAATGACGCAGTTGAACTGCTCCACAACTGGTACAACGTGGCGGATCGAAGAACGTGCAAACCTAAGCGGTTATCGGGGGAAAAATGACACGGGCCAGGAGTAAAAAGCGAAATCTACGATGAGCCGTAAAGACGAGTAAGATACGAAGAGCAGCAGTGGCGTAGACACTTTTCCGGGAGCGACATACCACGAGAATGTTGGAAAAGCGACTCGACCGCACGTGTTCGGTGTCGTTGGCGCAGAAACAGGTGCCTGCAGGTGCAGCGCCGGGAAGATCGTAAAAAGGAGAAGGAGCCCTTAAAGAAGGGAACGCAACGATCTATTTTACACGAAATTTCCGAGACCAGCGACCACTCGAGCAGCCTGGCTGCGCGCTCACTCGGGGAACAAAGAACGCCTCGACCCTTGCTCGGCCCTCTGGAATATATCTCGACTCTGGCGAACAACCTGGAACCGAGTGGCCGTTTCTGCCAGTCGAAGCTTCTTCGAGGAAATGGATCTCTGTTGGCCGCGCTATGCCAGTCACGCCTGTACTTCGAACACCATTGTCCTGTCCGGCTGACTCGCCGAATATTACCGTTCTCGAGCGAGTATTATCATATTCAGGAAGTCCTCTGACTGAATACGAAGTGGCTCTCCGGTTCGATATCGAGAGTTCTGCGAATTTTCCCCTCGCCCCCACCGGTCGCCGTCTTTGTCCAATTTTCGGTCCCCGAATCCCGTCTTTTCATTTTAATTCACCATAGTTGCGTCGCGGTTGTGTCTACCATCGGTTACTTCCTTTTGTACAAGTTTCCCCGAAATTTCGTGGCTTTTCGTCGAATCCGAGTCGTGTTTCTCGCCTGCCAACTTTGGAATTTATTCGGCTTTTCCAACGGACTTCCCTCCCCTTGCACGATCAACTGGGACACACGCACACACGGGAAATTTATCGCGCGTATCACGGAACGAATCATCGATTTCTTTGTCGTCGCAGCGCCCCAAAGAATCGCTGAAAAATCTACCCTCGCAGCGATGACGTTTCATCTAAATATCAAAATGGATTCGTGTACACCACGGATACTCGTATTTGTTAATAAAACCGTTTTCGTTGTAAACGAAACAAGCTTTCTCCTACTTTAATCCGATCCTATTATATAGGTCGTTAACGGACTCCCTTCTCTCCTACGCTCTAATATTCCACGCTGCTGCCACCTACATTCGGAGACTCGTATTCTTTCCTCTTTTCGCTGCCGTCAGTCGTAAACCTTTGCGCCAGACGAATTCCAAAAGCAGAAAATGAGTCAGTTGCGCAAGAACGCACGAAAATAGCCCGAGCGAAGATTCAAATTTCGCGCATAAAATTTTATTACCCTATATAATGGCGGCTGATTATGAATCACTACTACTACCGCCACCATGCGTCGTATCTTCCACCGACTCGAATCTTTTTCCCCGAGAATCTCCGCGATATTCCGTATCGGTTACCAATACGCATTTTTCGATGGCAGTTAATCGTAATAGATCCACATTCGTCGTTCCGACCAGGTCTACCAACGTATAAACACCGCCACACCGCGAGCGTTCCAACGTACTAGTAGCTGGGAACGTTGCACAGCTCGTTAACGCGCCAAGTCTTCTAAGCGTGTTATTCCGCGGCTGGCCGCTTCTCTCGTCTCCCCCCGCGTACACATGGTCCTGACGTTTATCGGACGCGTCGTGAACTCGCCACTGTTGCGTCGTTAAACAACGAGCAGCTGTTTCGCGAGCCAGAGCCGCGTAACGGCCACAGCACACCACCGTTCGCGAGGATCCTGTCGGGAAAGCCTCTCCTTCCTCTCTCTCTCTCTCTCTCTCTCTCTCTCTCTCTCTCTCTCTCTCTCTCTCTGCCCGACTCGGTTATCCCTGACGTCGACGCGACAACGCTAGCGTTGTTCGCAGGAGCGAAACCTCTTTTCGTCGTCCTTCGACACCGCGACATTGTCGGTATTGATCCAGCCGTTACGCAACGAACTTGTCGAGAATTAAAGGGAATAATGAATGAGAGAAAGGAGAATCGAGTGGCCGCCACACGATCGACGCGAGTAAATCGAACGTGCGCAACGCGTCGAGTTACATTAGCCGATGAGACTAGGGATACCGCGTTACGCATGAATTTGCTGCCTGCCCGCTGCTAGTGGACAACGCCGACTTCCTATATAGAGAGTTCGAGCTTCGCGTTTGCTCCGTTTTTCACTAGCGGCGGCACGCGACCACGATTCTTCCCGTTTCGAAAGAGAACAGGGTTCGTTACGCGGCGAGATATATTTTCGTCACTGGTCGGAGAGTTTTCGGTAACGGATGAACGCGAAGAAAGATACGAGGGTAACGGCGATAGAATGGAGCAGTGGTATGATCGGAACGAAGTGACGGTTAGAACGGACGATTAGAGCGAAGCACGCTTCCGCGGAATGTTTCACGGTATGGCGAATTCGTGGTAGTTTGGACGGACGAACGCGATTCCCACGGACGCCGTGGCGTGTGACGAGCGACGGTCGTTCGGCACGGCTCGGCCTTTTATTTTGCTCGCGTATCGGCTTATCGAGTCGTTCGACTTATATATACGACGCGCCGAGACGGCTGGGCAAACAACACTGACCTCGAGACACAAGCACGAGTGACGTCGCGCTTTGAATTTTTTCTCCTGAAACTCAGGCCGACGGTTTGATCCGTGTTCGTGCATTCTCTGCACGTTGGACACATCTGGGATTCGACGGGAACACAAGCGACTGTAGAACTCGAACAAGATATTCCACTCGGAAAAGTTAGTAACACTGCACGAGGGTAGCCGGTTTCGTACTGGTCGACACGGCACTGGCTAGAGACGGGAACCAACTGGAATATCCGTTGATGTATCGAACGTCCATCTATACACGTCCAAGAAGTCTTTCTACACCACACTTCAGAGCGCGGAGAAGCCACGGAAACGCGAACCCGAGCGAACGAGGTATAGTATCGTATCGAACACCGGATTCGAGAGCGAGAGACGCGACGTAAAGATACGATTTTGGACAGAGAAAGGGCTACAGAGACAGAGACTTGGGACTTACGTTCGGCGAGCCTTGAGCGCCCAATCCATATCTCGCGCGACGTGCTCGGTGAGCTTCACGATGCCCCTCGTGTTTGCTTTCGTCGTGTTTTTATCCCTGATGTAATCAAAATATTGCACACTCCGCGCACGCACAACAGCACACAGCGTTTTTATCTTTCTTCTTGGTCGTGTTTCACCACTGGTCCGACCCGCTGCGCGACGAGCGGCTTGCGCGCGCATGTAACATATAACACACTGACTTTCTTCTACGTACACGAAAGAAAAAAGGGACGAAAGGTGGGAAAGAGAGAAAAAAGGAAGAAAGAGGCGAGGCGAACGAAAAACCACGCCGAATCAACGCACAAGGGTAAACCAGTGCACCGATCTACGACACACACTTGGCGACGATCCAACGAAGACTGAGCCCGTGGACGCTCGACGACTGCGACGCGCATGGAGCGCCGCCCAGTGGTGGGGGAGAAAAAGGCGGTGGGTACACTCGCGTACCGACCGCTTCCAGCGCCCCGAGACCAATGATGTACCTACCGCCGCGCAGTGGCGTAGAGCGGAAAATTCGCACCTTTCGGCATCGCCCGTATAAATATACGAAAAAGAAAGGGAAAAAAGTCCAAAACCGTAGATATTTATCGCGATACTCGTCGCGTTTCATACCTATACCATACTCGCGAAGATACGAAGCCCGACGTCGAGGCAACGTTTTCACACGCTGTATTTTCCACGCTATTTCCGTCCGCTCTTTATCGTCCAATTTTCCAATCCTCGTAACTTTGCCACATTTTTTACTCCACTCTGCTAGATTACTTTTTCGAATCCGCACACGCTTTCACAGGGCGGCGCGCTCGTAATCCTCGATGGATTTCAGAGCAAACCTCGATATCGTCCTCGGCACCCTACGCCAGTGCCTAAGCCTACCCAGTGCTGAAACGTTTACCCGGGGGGACTGTACTATAGGGAAGGAGGAGAGAGAATACGCACTGACGGGCAGAGAGCGCGCGCGAGAGAGAAAGGAGACAGAGAGCGAGAGAGTAACAGTCGAAGGGATACGAAGGTTCTCCCTTGTGTAGTGGGGTTTCGCGGACCGCTCCCTGAACCCAGGCGGTCGGACGTCGAATTAACCCCAGAAAAACGTGTACGTGCCCGCGCGCGCTATCGATGCACGAGGAACATCGCAAAGTGTCGGCCACGATTTGCCTGCTGCTTTTATTTTAGAAAATTACCCATGATTTTTCAGCGCGGTCGTGCGCGCAATGCAAAACGACCACTCTGACGAGCACTGCTCGGTGCTCTTTTTCAATAAGGTAAACAGGAAAGAGAGGTTCTTGTACCAACATCAACGGACAGACAGACAGACGCGGACAAACTATGGTATTCACACCGTAGCCATATTTCGCGAATGGCGAATTGCGCCCCAATCGTCGTGTCTCATCAGCGGAAAACAAGCGCGTGGAGGAAAAACGGTTTTCGCGATGGTCGACCGGCTTACCGAGAAATCGATAGCAGCGGAGATTCATTAAAGATACGCGCGTACGGAGGCTTTCACGCAGCATGAAGGATCGGTCCCCACAGCCTCCTCTGGCTTTGGATCTGATATTAGACGCGCACACGCTAGGGTCTCGCGCATCCCTCCCGTACCAGCTGTTCCGATGTTGAGTCAGCCCGACGAGTGGCGTCTGCCGCCACGGCGTGGCACGACGTCGTCGTAACGACCGGCGAAAATTCGCCGAAACCTCTTTAGCCGCCGTTAATACGTCTACGTTCCTCCAACCGGCGACTCTCCGCGTATCGCGGCTGCATCCGCGACGTAAAAACTCTCGCGTCTCGAAACCTTCACCCCATATATACTCGAAACGCGGCGAGATTGGCCAAGAAGGCGCACCGGCGATGAAGCGGATTCTTGGCCGGCGAGCGGCCCGGTGAAAAAGCTAATCGAGAGTGGATCGAACGAATGCAAAAAGATTCGAACCGAATCGCATCCGTTTCCTTTTTCGATCTCGTCCGGCAGAGAACGAGAAACGGCTCGGTCGTTTCTCCGTTTCGGACGAGTATCGAACGAGCTCGCGATCAGGAAGAGCGACGTAATCGTACGTGGCAAAGTTGAATTTCTCCTCCTTCCTTCGTAATCGGAGCGTCGCGATCAAGAACGCGTTTACAGCGCTCTGCGACGCAGAAGGGCGATGGTGTGGTGGGACCACGACGACGTTCCACGGAATAAAAATCCATGCCACGGAGATTGCGGACGGGTGGAGGACGATCCGTGGCTCGCGTAGGGGAATTGGGAGAGGTTCAAGGCCAAGTCGGTGAGAAGGGCTCTTTTTCGGAGGTCCGAGGTATACGCACCAGGTAAAAGGAAGTCGTACACCCGGAGGACCAAACGGAATGACAAATGCGCCGGTGGACGGTGAAGGGAAAGGTGAAGGGAAAGGTGAAAGGAGGACAGGGAGAGGGTCCCGAGGTAGCCGTGTGCGTGGAACAGAATTCAGGTGTGCCTAACCACGAGATTGATATCGACGGGTTTTATCTCGGTAGAAAAATCGTAGGTAGCGTCGAATGCGACGCGTCGGTCGGACACCAGCGTCGCCTCCCTCCTCTTGTCCGTTCGAGGAATTTCTTTTGACTCGGACTGGCCTTTTCCCGTGTTCCCCCTATTTTCCCTTTCCTTTTTCCTTCCCTTTTCCCGTTGGCGGGAAAAAAATCGCGCGCTGTTACCGCGATCCGGCGTCACCGGGCCGTTTCCCTCTCGGCTCTCGGACCACGGATCCGGGAACACGCTGGGCCGGAATAACGAACCGGGGAAATTTCGAGTTCCGTAACGTCGGCCGAAAAACGAAGAAAGCAACGGCGCTGCGCCGCCTGTCGATGCACCGGCCCCCCGTGATAGATCGATGGCGAACGAATTCGCGGAGCGGACACAAAAGCGCGAGTAATCCGAAACAAAACGGGAACGAAAAATGTTGGCGGCGCGGTGAGCATCGCAGCCGATCATCCTCCGCTCGACGACGGATTAAATGGCGGTCCGTTCAAGGGCATCGAACGCGAGAGGAACGATAAAATCTCGGTGAAATTAAAATCGTAATACCGCGAGGAATTACTGCGAGATCGCTCGAACGCGACCGTATCCAACAGAGAGACAGAGAGGGAGAGAGAGTGATAGAATGGGAAGCGGAGAGAGCGAGAGAGACACAGACGGAAAAAGGAAAAATAAAAAAGAAAGAAAAAAAACACGAGCATACATACACATATACACAAAAAGTCCCTGAGATTTTAATCCCTGCTCATTGAGAGACGAGCGGGATAATTACGGCGTAATATCGTGCAAAATAATAGCATCAAAAGCGCGGGATAATTAAATTCCCCTCGAAACTCGAGTACCGCAACCGGCTGCACCACGACGACATCGTTCGGAAAGCTTCGAGTGCGTTTCCACGGCGCACGGTGCATCCCCTTTAAACTTTTGTCCAACCAGACACGCGTACCCCCGTGAATCGTGTATAAATTTTATGGAATATCCGAGCGAATTTTCGAGGTCAATGACGGATCCGTGTAAACGGGCTGTACCACCTGCATTATTTACCGCGAGATCCGTTTTCATCCCAGCTTCGTCCAGCTTCGTCCCAGCCTTGTTCCGCTTCGCGCGAATCCAATTTCGGCGGTCTGCCGAATTCGGCACTCGTCGCTTCTAGTTTCGGGAACACGTCTCGAACCACGCGAAAAGACCAGCACCACGCTACTCACCGTGCAAACTTTGTCCTCGGGGATGCTCGTACCCGAAACCGGCGTCGTAAATTGCACCCCGAATAGGATTCCGCGTGCACGGTGAGAGGCTGCCGAAGATCCGTAGGTTGCGTATATTTGGGCAGGTATTTAACTCGGATGCGAGAGGCAAACTCGAAGAAGGGGAGAGCTCGCCTCTCCAATGCGTCTCTCTGACCCGAGATTCCAAGTAGATTTGGAAGTCGCGCCGGCATCTACCTGACCATGGGACGTCTCTACATTCGAATGCAACGGAAACGAAGATAGACTAGGATCTACGATGATTGACGAATTTAACGAAACGCTGCAACCGATTCGCGAATCTATGCGAATTTTTTGATAATCCCACGTGTCGCAGCCGTGAACTCTGAGTTTGGCAAGAGTCGCGCCAACATCTACCTAACTTGGGATTGTCTTTGCACATTCGAATACAACGGAGACGAAGATAGACTGGGATCTATGAGGATTGGTGAATTTACTAAAACAGAGCGACCGACTCGTGATAACTATGCGAATATTTGGACAGTCACGTGTGGCAGCCGTGGACGCTGAGTTCGGGCAGAAGTCGCAATGGCGTCTACCTGATCACGGATTGTCTTTGCACATTGGAATGCAAAGGAAACGAAGATAGACTGGGACCTACGAAGACTGGCAAATTTACCGAAATGGAGCGACTAATTTGCGACATCTACGCGAATTTTTCGACAGTCACGCGTGGCAGCCGTGAACTTTGAGTTCGGGCAGAAGTCGCGCCGACATCTACTTAACCAGGGATTGTCTTTGGACAATCGAATGCAACAGAAACGCAGATAGACTGGAACCTACGATGATTGGCGAATTTACCGAAACGAAGAATTTTGCACATTCGAATACAACGGAGACGAAGATAGACTGGGATCTATGAGGATTGGTGAATTTACCGAAACGAAGAGTAATTTGCGACATCTACGCGAATTTTTCGACAGTCACGTGTGGCAGCCGTGAACTTTGAGTTCGGGCAGAAGTTGCAATGGCGTCTACCTGATCACGGATTGTCTTTGCACATTGGAATGCAATGGAAACGAAGATAGACTGGAACCTACGAAGATTGGCAAATTTACCGAAATGGAGCGACTAATTTGCGACATCTACGCGAATTTTTCGACAGTCACGCGTGGCAGCCGTGAACTTTGAGTTCGGGCAGAAGTCGCGCCGACATCTACTTAACCAGGGATTGTCTTTGGACAATCGAATGCAACAGAAACGCAGATAGACTGGAACCTACGATGATTGGCGAATTTACCGAAACGAAGAAACCAACTCGCAATAACTATGCGAATTTTTGGACAGCCACGTGCAGCAGCCGTGGACTACAAGTTCGCGAGGAAGCTTTCATCTCGTTAACGGCTCGTCCCTCGACGGTAGAGAGCTGTCGAGAGCAGACTAGGGTTAAACTTTCGAAGGAAGTCGAATCGAAGGTTCCCAACGTGATCCAAGTCACGCGTTTCCGAGAGGAAGAAGGATTCCCGACGCGAGTGCAGAGAAAGAACCGAGGGACGCGTAACATAGTGTCTCGACGGAGGAGGCTCGAGGCGATTACTGTTAACCACAGACTGTGTAACTTTTGAAAATTTTCGGGCTGAAAACCCGTGG